TGAATTCTCAACCAAATCTTATGACCCACCACTTGAAATTGATTAGGAACCACTCAAGGAATCCATTGCACCTATCCATTTGAGCTATAGTTGAGTGTGTGAAGAGTTATTCCTCCTCTTATTTTCGGATTACTATTCATAGGAGGAGAAAAAGTGGGTTTTTGATGGAGCTTTGCTTGGAGGTTATTCTCTAGGCTTTGTACAAGTGATTAGACTATGGTATTATTTTGTGATCTATGTTTTGAAAATTTGGAGCATGTTTTGAGTGGGAAATATTTGATGTTAGAAGGTGAAAATTATGATGGATTGTTGTTGTATAGGAATGATAGTGTTTAGTAAGCATTAATTTGTGATAAAAAAATTGAAAAGCCCTAGTGCACTTTTCCCCTAGGTTTCGGCCTTCATGGCTTATATAGGGTTCATCATGCAAATTTTTATTGTATGTTTGAAAAGGTAAAATATGTTGGAATGTAGTGTAAATGGATTAATTGGTGGAAATGCCAAAGTTAGAAAAAAAATCCTACAAATACTTGCTCTATGTTGCGAACTATAGGATGTTTAGGGGTATATATATATATTGGTTACATTTTATTCTAATAAAATGGGTTGCATTTTAATATACCAATGGATGAGCTAAGAAGTGAAATGCTTTGACAAATGGTTGAAAAATACCTTGAGTCCCTAAGGGTACGCCCGCGACTTTTAAAGAAAAATAACATGATTTATGTGAAAGATTCTTAAGTAAATGCTTGATTAAATTAAAGAACGCCAACGGGTGTATAGAGGTCTAGACTTGTGTATTGGCATAGAATTGGCAAAAATATAAAGAAAGGAAAATAAGCGATAAAATGTATGCTTATGAAATAATCATGGTATTGCATCATTTTATTGATGCATTGTAAATTATTCTCTAGGTGTGCCTAGGGATTGAGAAGGATCGGAAATCTCTTGACGCGATAAAAGTAACTTGTTCCACAAGTAAGCGTATTGGTAAAGCTTCAAGAGGTAAGCTCTATGTTTAAGGAGTCTTTTCCTACTTGAGTGCTCCACCATGGTTAGTGAACTATGGTTGGACTGTATGACTGTGATTTAGATGCTTTGTATAGATGCATTCATATAGAGTTATTTGATAACATGATATGTTTTGCTCTGATATGACTTCTGTAATATGATTTCTGTAACAATCTCTGGCCATTGATTGTATAGTACCCGGACGTCCGCTTTGGGGTCCTCCCTCGGGACTGATGGTGTACTCCTCTGATATGTCTGGTTCCGCTTTGGGGTCCTCCCTCGGGAACACGTGCGTTGATTTCCGCTTGGGGTCCTCCCTTGGGAATGACGGCGCACATCTCTGATATGATATGGATATATGCTCTGTTCTGTTATGATATCTGTTATATGTTGTATTTGTATACTCTGTATCTGAATTTCATGCAGGAGTGAGCCAGGGGTATGGAGAATTCTCTATAAACCTGGAGCTTATTGAGATTTGTAATCTCACCCCTCTTTGGGGACACATTTTCAGGGGCCCAGATTTCCGGTGAGTCCTCATTAGGCAGGGACACGACACGTGGCTGAGGCAGTTGACAGACCGGATTTTGAGTGGCTGTAGGCTACTACCTTTTTGGAGTGTTTGATGTATTTTAGTATTTTCGCATTTGATGGATCATGATATTGATCCTTTATTTTGTATATGGCCTGTATATGTTTTGTACATGTCTATCAGTTTGATGCATGTACATTTGAGTATTCAGGAACGTTATATGATGATGTAGTATTCAGATAGGTTTATGTTTTGATGGCATGCTGTTAGATTTAGTGGCACGGAGCCATGTTATGCATGCGCCCATGTATGGGTATTTGATTATATTTGGATATCTGGCATTTCTGAATTGATATGTTGTATAAACTGTTTATCAGGAAATGCTTCTGAGTGGGATTGGAAAATCCCCAGTTGTCCGATTTATAGAGGAAACTCTGCCCGATTTTCGTTTACGCCGAGTAAGAATTAAGTTAGAAAAAGAAAAAGTTAGCTCATATTTTTGTAAGTTAAGTCTTCCGCTGTTTCTGTTTGTATCATATGTATGTTAATTGAACCGGCTCGAGACGGGGATGTTACAGTTCGGAATTACAACAACCACTTGAGTGGTCAATACGGAAGCGTATTGCACTTGGAGCTGCTAGGGGGCTTGCCTATTTGCACGATCATTGTAACCCAAAGATTATTCATCGTGATGTCAAAGCTGCTAATATATTGTTGGATGAGGAATTTGAAGCAGTTGTTGGAGATTTTGGTTTAGCAAAGCTTATGGATTACAAAAAAACTCATGTTACCACTGCTGTATGTGGTACCCTTGGGCATATAGCACCAGAGTACCTCTCAACTGGAAAGTCTTCAGAGAAGACTGACGTTTTTGGATATGGTGTTATGCTTCTTGAACTAATAACTGGAAAGAGGGCTTTTGATCTAGCACGACTTGCCGAAAATGATGATATCATGTTGCTTGATTGGGTAGGTATTCAGTTTATGAAAACTATCCCATTAGTACTTGTTTGTTGTTTTTTATTGTCGTATAAATATTTGGGAATGGATCCTCTCAATATTGCATTTTAATATGATCACATCATGTGCAAAATCTAAGTCATTAATTGATAGGTCAATGATAAATGTAACATCCCCAGCATCGAGCCGGTTCAATTAACATGCATATGATACTTAACAGAAACAGCGGAAGACTTAACTTGCGAAAATACGAACTAACTTTTTCTTTTTCTTTAATCCTTTTTCACATAACATATCACATTGTATACTTCTTCTAATTTAATTCTTATTTTACGGAGACGAAAATCGGACAGAGTAACCTCTGTAAATCGGACAACTGGGGATTCTCCAATCCCACTCTTAAGAGTTCCTGATAGACAGTTTAAACAATATATATTTCCAGAAGTACCAGTCATGCAAATATACTCAGATACCCATCTATGGGCGCATGCTGAACTTGGCTCCGTGCCACAAATCTAATAGCATGCAATCCAATACATAACATAACTAAATACTACATAGTCATATCATCATGCCTGAATACATAAACGTACATGTATCGAATATGAACACTATGCAACAATACATCTTTTCCAAAAATACGTCTAAAACAAATAGTAGCATCCGACCACCCAGAACTCCACATCCTCATACTAGTACCTCTAGCCACGGTTAGTGTCCTGGTCCCATGAGGCTCTTCAATTAACTGTGTTCTTGAAATCATATCCCCAAACGGGGTTAGAGACGAATCTCTAGTAAACTCCAGGTTTATGGAAAACCCTCCATACCCTGGGCTCACTTCCTGCATGACAGTCAGATACATAATATACAAAACATCATATAAGCAATTATCATAACTGAACAAAGCATATATACATATCTTATCAAAGACAAACGCAGTCATTCCCAAGGGATGACCCCAAGCAAAAATCAACGCACGTAACAAATATCTTTTACAAAAATAATCACAATACTCACTTCAGAACAAAACGTGTTATATCAGAGACGTACGCAATCGTTCCCAAGGGATGACCCCAAGCGGAAATCAACGTACGTAACAAATATCATTTACAAAATCATCATACATATCCCATAAAACATGTCATATAATCAAATATCATAACTAAACAAAACATATACACATATCTTATCAGAAACGTACGCAGATATTCCCAAGGGAGGACCCCAAGCGGAAATCAACGCACGTGTTCCCAAGGGAGGACCCCAAGCGGAACCAGAACATATCAGAGGCGTACGCAGTCATTCCCAAGGGAGGACCCCAAGCGGAAATCAACGCACGTGTTCCCGAGGGAGGACCCCAAAGCGGAACCATAACATATCAGAGGCGTACGCAGTCATTCCCAAGGGAGGACCCCAAGCGGAAATCAACGCACGTGTTCCCGAGGGAGGACCCCAAAGCGGAACCAGAACATATCAGAGGCGTACGCAGTCATTCCCAAGGGAGGACCCCAAGCGGAAATCAACGCACGTGTTCCCGAGTGAGGACCCCAAAGCGGAACCAGAACATATCAGAGGCGTACGCAGTCATTCCCAAGGGAGGACCCCAAGCGGAAATCAACGCACGTGTTCCCGAGGGAGGACCCCAAAGCGGAACCAGAACATATCAGAGGCGTACACCATCAGTCCCGAGGGAGGACCCCAAAGCGAACATCCGGGTACTATACAATCAATGGCCAGATATTGTTACAGAAATCATATTACAGAAGTCATATCATAACAAAACATATCATATTAACACATATCAAAGTAAATACATCGAAACAAAACATATCATATTATCATATAGCTCTATATGAATGCATCTATATCATATATCTCATACATATCATACAACCTGACCACAGTCCGTACACTATGGCGGAACACAAAGTAGGAGCGAACCCCATAAACATAGAGCTTACCTCTTGGAGCTTTACAATTTGCTTACTTGAAGAACAAGCTACTTGTCTTGCTCCACGAGAATTCAAAAGTTCACAATCCCTAGGCACACCTAGAGAAGGAATTCACACAAATATCAATAAAATGGTTCAAAGTCAAGTAGTTAACTAGACACACCATTTATTGATTTTATCTTTTACTTATCAACTATTTCTTAACTATTCATACATACGGTACTGTTCATGTATACAGTACTATTCATGTATACGTCACTATTCACGTATATGGTACTATTCATATACGTCACTATTCAAAAATACGGTATCTCAAATTTTTCTGAATACATTTTCACCGTTAAAATCCTCATCTAAACACTTTTCTCATCATGAGCTAAGCCTCAATCAAGCTCTAACATGCTCAATCAAGCCAAACTTTAAAAATGAAAACCTAAATCAATCCTTCTCAAAACTCAAAGGAAACTAGGATTTCTTGACACAGACTTACCTAGAATCACCCAATGAGTGGATTCTCAACCTCAAACAAGATCAAAACGCCTTCTTGGACCTTCAATCAACAAAGGGGCGCCACTTTCCCTTCCATTTTTCTCTCAATACACGGTTTTTTGATAGATTATGGATTAGGGGTTGTGTTTGTCTCTCAATTCTAAACAACTTTGGTTTTTACCACACTTGATTTCATAAAGAAATGAAAAAGTTGGAAATTAAGCTCTCCAACAATGGCTACGGACGACGCACGGAGAAGAAGAGGAACGAGGCACGCGCGTGAGAAAAAATAAGGAAATGAGGTTTCTGTTTGTAAACTTAAAGTATTTAAGTTAGTTTAATTGGGTAAAATCTTATTTATCTACGCACCTCCATTCACCACCAAACTTTGCATACTAGTCCATAATATTTTTATGGTAATATTTATAATTTTACTTTTTACTTTTGAATAACTTTATTTACCCGCATTTTTACTCATTAACTGTTATTTTAACTCCTTTTTCACCAAAGGTGACTTTATTTCTTTTTCTTTATAATTATCCTTCAATATTAAATCTATAAATAAATGTGAGGGTTATTATAATAAACTGATTGAAATGACCATTTCTCATATGACACGGTCATAATAAAATGAGACATGAAAGCATCTATTCCCATAACTGTTGTGGTTATTTGTTGTAGTATAACTAGCCTTTGCTTTAAAAATACAATACAATATTGATTTGGTTGTACCTATTTCTATGCGAGATTCTAGAATCTCATCTTCCTGGCTGTTGTTAGTTCATTGTTGTTACATTGGTTCTATGCACACATTAACATTATTTTGAGCCCAGGTTAAAGGACTTCTGATAGACAAGAGATTGGAGACACTGGTGGATGCAGATTTACAGGGAAATTATGATGAGGAGGAGGTAGAACAGTTAATCCAAGTGGCATTGCTATGCACACAAGGCTCCCCTTTGGAAAGGCCCAAGATGTCTGAGGTGGTGAGAATGCTAGAGGGTGAAGGTTTGGCAGAAATATGGGATCAATGGCAGAAAGAGGAGATTATCCGCAAAAATCTCAATCACACTCATCCGTATCACCACCACATTGGTAATTTGATATTAGAGTCAACTTCAAATATGTCACCAGATGAACTATCAGGTCCTAGATGATCTTTGAACATTCTAAACAATCCTGTTTGAAAGCTGTATACTACTCATTTGTGCATATGATTTACAAAGGTAAATTCATGTTTTACTTGTGTCAAATTTTGCAACCTTACATAAATAAAGCAAAATGTTACCGCTGAGCCTTCACTCCTCTGTCTCCTCATACGAGGATTCCAATCTGAATGATATCTTTTGGTTGTACCTATAGTATATTATGGTTGTGTAGCTTAGTGACTATGAAACACCGATATTCCTTAAATTTTTTTCAATGTATCGGATACGTGTATCCGAAACGTATTGAAAACTTGTATCGTATTGACATATCGAAGTCCCGTATTGAAAACGTATTGGAAACTTATCGAAAACGTATTGGAAACTTAATGAAAACGCCGTATCGGAATCGGTGCTTCATAGTTTAGAACTCAAACCTGCACTTTGAGGATATTGCTTTTATGTCAAAAGTAAAAGCTTGAAACGAACTCTGATACACAGCCGTCTCTTTTGTGGTGACAGAGACGGTCCCGGGTCCAAAACCTCTCTCCCCTTTCAATTTTCATTTTCATCTTAATTTCACTTTCTCCTCGATGTTTATAATTCATATAATAAGTCTGAAAAAAAAAAGGAAAAAAATAGAAAAAAAGAAAAGAATAGAAAGAAGTAGAATTTTCTCAACAAAGGATGCAAGTGTAAAAATACAAATGTTACATACTATATAAGATTTCATATTAAAGTAATACATGTGTATATAAGTATTGATATGCAAATATTATATACAAATTAAAATACTTAAATGAAAAAAATTTCACAACGAATATTAATATATAAAGAATTATTCAAAGAAAATATTTTTGGCACAAGTATAATACCATCTGTAAAGTTTGTGCTAGCAAAATGATTACACTCCATAAGTTATTATGGTAGTGAACGGGTAAAGTCATAAACAATAGCCGCCAACTAACAACGCTAACACTAACAATTTAAAAATTGTTCATAAGCTATACTTCGTCAAATGCTACTTCTAGTCTTTTATTATCATCATATTCATCATTAGGACTCGAAGAATGAGAACTATGGATATGTGAGGAATAGGGACGAATGAATCAAAACTTGCATGAACTAAAAGTTTAAAATGAGAAAAACATATAAGATTAAATTATAAAAAGCTTGAAATTTGTTTATAATTTAGCTCATTTATATTTCAAATGTAAAGCATGCAAACATGATCTAAAATCGAAAGGTTTTAAAGCATAAACCATACTGCTTTCAAAAATTGTATATTTTACCTAACACCCAAGCCATTTTTTTTAAGGCTTTAATATTTCTATGATGAATATAGATAAGTTATCTACATTCATTCCCAAAACAACGTCGTTTTGGATTGAAAGATTAAAAAATTATAATGAGAAAAACTATTATAATCATGAAATAAATTATAACTACAAAAATACCTTGATTTCCGTCCCAAAACAACGTTGTTTTGAGCTCAATGTTGATAACTTATTTATATTAACGGCAGAAAAAATGAAACTTTTTTTTAATTATAAAAGCTTGAAGGTTTTATGCATAAATAAAGTTTTAACAACCATGATATATTTATTTATTGCTCCTATCAAAACTAAAGACTGGAAACAGAAACAACAAATCAGAATATTTAAACAACTAAATAATGTTATTTGAGAAAATGATTCTTCCTCACTTTTATCTCCCCTTCCATTCTTTTCCCTGTCCTTCATTTTATTTTTTTATTTTATTTTTTTTAGTACATAAAAGTTTAGATGAGGTTAAATACCGATATCCACTAGGAGACAAGGTAGATCCCTCAACCTCTTTGAGGATTTTTTAAAGGGATGATAGATTGCCAACCAACAAAGTCCTCACATCAGCCAGCGAAATACGAACTCACGTTCTTGTGAGATATGAGTCTAATCCTTAATCAACAATGCCCACCCTTGTTGGCCCGTGTACTTCATTTTAACTTATGATACTAGAATCATTGTCTATTTTTATTAGGATTAACACTAATAGAGACTAACAATTGCTTTTTGTAACGCCTCATCTCGAGCCGGTTAGTTAACATGCAATATGATATTTAAAACGCAACATACTTAAATAATTAAGCGAAAGACTTTTGAATAAAGTATCATTGTTACTTTACGTAACTATGTGACTTAAATTTTCCCTTTTTATTTTCCTTATGTATTGCTATGCATATTGTATTATTTGTATTATCATAAATTGTACAGTCTCATACTTGTACATTATTCCAACTTAATAACTAGTAAACCATTATTAATGGTAAGTAACTATTGGAGTATGATAACACATACCATCCCGAATACTGGACAACTAGGGATAACTCTTACTGTCATAAAATGGTACCTGATAACAGATAAGTCATTGCAGACATAAACCAAATAGTCCAACAATAATGGAATTAGAATTCATCCATGGATTCATTCAAAAAGTGACTTCATGCCAATATTTACATACTCTAACATACATTCATATGCATGCTAATATCAAAATGGTATAAGTGTATAAAGGCTACACATGACCATATACAACAAGTACATAAACATAGCAAAATACATGTCAAACTATACAAATGTGCATGATTATATAACATGCTCCACAAAATATAGTCATCCTCAAAATAACAAATATCCACTAGCTAGGTCCTATATCCTTGTAACATCTCGTATGGATCCGGTCTTGTTAACATTATTTATAATATTAAGCGTAGTTACAATCACATCAATTGAATTAAAAGTACGGTCAAACTTTTTCCTTTCGATAAACAAGCATTTTTATTAAAATCAATTTTGTATTTAACAAGATTCAAAAACTGTAATCGTAACTCATACACAAATGCAGAATATTAAATTCTAATGTTTATATATCATACAACACTTGCCAAAAATAGACCACAAAAATGGATTTGCATCCAAAAACCATAAGATGGACTACCTTTATTGCCGGAAATTCACCGGAATATTTTCCGATTATTAAAATTCGTAGGAAAATGTACCTAAAACTTCTGATGGCCATATATCCTTCGTCTAACCTTCGCTTAAGGCGAGTGACCAGTCAAAACGATCGTCTCGATGAGTAGAACAAAGCCCATTAGGTTTTACTCCTTGAAACTACTGGCTGAAATTTCTAGGAGCTGGACCGAAAAGTTGCAGATGCAGTATCTTCAAACTCAGATCCTAGAAAATCATTTCGTCGAATAGTGAAAGTGATTTAAAATATGAATTCCTCTTGATGAGATCTTCGAATAAACACCTTACTCCCTCAAACCCGACACACAAAGCTAATACTTCAAGACTGTTGGATGTTATAGGTTTGAGAGAGAAGGATTTTGAGGTAGGGTTAATACTTGAAGAATTACACCAAGAGACATCAAGTTTAGAGTGTTCAAAAGTGTTAGCTTATGAAACCTTAGAGATATGGGTGGTAAACGAGCTAGGGGCCTTTGGCTCGGCTCGTGAAGGCTTGAGCTTGCATGTCTAAAATTGGTTGTCGGCACCAGACTTGAACTTGTATAAAAGCTCGTTTAATAAAAAGGCCTCAGGTTCCAATTCAAAAGCTCGGCCTTAGAGCCTCCCAAGCTGACCTAATATATTATTTTTTTATTTTATTTTATATACTACTTGTAATAGCCCTCTATTTATTTCTTCTCAATCTATTTCACTCCATTTTATTGGTTAAATAGACTTTTTAAATGATTTTATTTTATATTATGCTGTTTGGATATACATTGAATTTATGAATATTTATGAAATTACTAGTGTTGTTGATTGTATGTTATGTTTGTTTAAATTTTTGTTGTCTTATTTTTTTTAAACAGACTAATAGGCTAAATAAGACTTTTATTTTTTTGTAAATAAGTCAGGCCTCAGGCCAATAATTATATTTATAACAGGTAACAAGCTTGATCAGGGTGACACATTTAAACTTAGACTTTTAAAACTAAAGCTCAGCTCGACTCGGCTCGTTAAACCTCATACGAGATAATCCAAGCTATTAGGCTACAACGCAAATGCGCCCAAAGATGACATAAACACCTTACTCACTCAAACCCGACATACGAAGCTAATACTTCAAGATTGTTGGATGTTATAGGTTTGAGAGAGAAGGATTTTGAGGTAGGGTTAATACTTGAAGAATTACACCAAGAGACATCAAGTTTAGAGTGTTCAAAAGTAATACCTTATGAAACCTTAGAGATAGGGGTGTTAAACGAGCCAGGGGCCTTTGGCTCGGCTCGTGAAGGCTTGAGCTTGCATGTCTAAAATTGGTTGTCGGCACCAGACTTGAACTTGTATAAAAGCTCGTTTAATAAAAAGGCCTCAGGTTCCAATTCAAAAGCTCGGCCTTAGAGCCTCCCAAGCTGACCTAGTATATTACTTTTTATTTTTATTTTATATTCTTTATACTACTTGTAATAGCCATCTATTTCTCCTCAATCTATTTCACTCCATTTTATTGGTTAAATAGACTTTTTAAATAATTTTATTCTATATTATGCTTTTTGGATATACATTGAATTTATGAATATTTATGGAATTACTAGTCTTGTTGATTGTATGTTATGTTTGTTTAAATTTTTGTTGTCTTATTTTTTCTTTAAACAGACTAACAGGTTAAATAAGGCTTTTATTTTTTATAAATAAATCAGGCCACAGGTCAATAATTATATTTATAACAGGTAACAGGCTTGGTCAGGCTGACACATTTAGGCTTAGCCTTTTAAGACCAAAGCTCAGCTCGGCTCGGTCCGTTAACACTCCTACTTAGAGAAGATATTAGGCTAGAACGCAAATGGGCCCAAATAACTTGTTTTCACTTATTAGCCTTGCATGTGAACATATTATTGAATATATTAACAGATTCTCCCTGCACGGTTATGACATATCTTAAAACTCACGGTTACTTCTTTTGGTCAATGAGGTCTACTTGCTTCTGATGGGTATGGCGGTGATCAATTAGTATTAAGAATG